TGTAGCCCTCGCTCTAGACTCCTGTGATGACAGAAATACCTAGTTATATATCTCTTTTAAACAGTTTTCTCCCTCCTCTGTTTCAGTGCAGTATACATTATTGAACCCATCTTACTCAGTCTCTCCCTAACCCCAAGGACAGTTCCATTCTACAACAGTGGCATCATGTAATATTTGTCCTTTTGTGACTGGGATATTTCACTCAGCATAATGTTCTCCAGAGTCAACCATTTTGAATAATATTGCATGAGTTCCTTGTTTTTTAATGCAGCATAGTATTCCATTGTGCGAATATACCACAGCTTCTCTAGCCATTCGTTTGTTGATGGGCACTTAGGTTGTTTCCAGCTCCTTGCTATTGTGAACAAAGCTGCAATAAACATGGGTGTGCATATATCTGCTTGGATGTCAGTTATGGTCTCTCTGGGGTATATTCTCAGTAGTGGAATTGCTGGGTCAAATGGTATCTCTATTTGCAACTTTTTGAGAAAGCGCCATACTGCTTTCCACAGGGGTTGCACCATTTTACACTCCCACCAACAGTGAATCAGGGTTCCAGTTTCTCCACAACCTCGCCAGCATTTGTTGCTTGCTGTTCTGTTAAATTTTGCTATTTTGACTGGGCTGAGATGATATCTCATAGTTGTTTTAATACGTTCAAGTTCTAAAACCATGTATTTTATGGCAAAGAGCCTTTACTCTAAGATGGCCAAAGCACTGATATTATATATTTACTGTAAAAAGAATGACAAGAGTTTTATTTTTCAGATATTAAAAGTTACTTAATAAATACTTGTTTCTAGTAACTTGGGGCGAATAAAAATCCGTGCTTGGGGCGGGGCTTCGGCTTTCTAGGTGCAGTTACTCGGTGCAGCTTAGTGGACTTCCGGAAGCCAGCCCACTGATTTGGTGAGGCCACGAACTGAAGGAGCCAATCAGCTAGCAGTGCTCAGCCAATTAGGAGCTTGGTTTCTGAGCCGCCCTGCTCCGCTGGCTCCTCTCCACCGGCTCAATGCTTCCAGTGTTCGTTCCCGGCTCAGCAGTGTAGCGTTTGCAGACATGCCTTTCGTGGAACTGGATACTAACCTGCCCGCTGATCGGGTGCCTGCGGGGCTGGAGAAAAAACTGTGCGCGGCTTCCGCCGCCATCCTGAACAAACCCGAGGAGGTGAGCGTGACCCTTCTTGTCCTCCCAGAGACCTTGGGCCGCCCTCCCACGACCCCTCCCAGGTCATTCCGCGATACCCTTCCGGTCTCTGGCCGGCCTCAGAGAGACTCCTGTACCCTTTGCAGCGTGTGAACGTGACGGTGCGGTCCGGCCTGGCCATGACAGTGAACGGCTCTGCAGAGCCCTGTGTCCAACTACTGGTGTCCTCCATTGGCGTGGTGGGCACGGCAGAGGAGAACCGAGGCCACAGCAGTCGCTTCTTCCAGTTCCTCACCAAGGAGCTGGCCCTGGACCAGGACCGGTGCGTAGCGGCTTCTTTCCTGGCCTCCGGGGAGACTGAGAGCAGTGGCCCAGCCAACCTCAGGGCCCTAACATTGGGCATAAAATGTTACTCTCCCACCCAAGGGCAAATCAGGGCTTCTTGACCCCGGGGTCTCCATACTCCCATTGGAAGGTTTTAACTTTACACTTAGGAGTTTTGTGAGATGGCCTGCATGTTGTACCTGCGTTGTCATAAAGGATAGGATGTCCTTACTGTGAAGTAGCCATAGCCATTAGTATTTGCCTCCAGGCCCCTCTGCCCATTACAAAATCTAGTTTATCTTTTTTAAGAGTCAGAATTAATTCCGGATATGTCCTTAGATTTTTGACCTTTGTAGACCAGGTAGGTCTGTAGGTGGAGGCTCCCAGAAGGGTCAGAAGTCATGAAATGGCAGGACAATCATTAGTTTGGTTGCCAAGAGACTTGTATTCTGGACCCAAAGACCCCAGATGTGAACCATGGCAGATGGCAGGGTATATGTCTTATCATACAGCTACTGGAAAGTTTGTCAGTTCAAAGCCATTTTTCTTGATGGGCAGCCTCCTCTCATAAAGATTTACAGACTTGGAAACCAAATAAAGGGTCACTAGCCCCCGGCGGGGTTCTTGTGTAATAGAAGAGTCTGCACAAGAGACCCTGTCAACTCAGCTGATTGCTCTCGAGTCAGAAATGACTCATAACTGACCCTCCAGTGAGTTTTCAGAGATAGTAAATCATATGGGAGGAGACTGCCCTTCTTTCTCCTGCAAAGAGGAGCCAGTGGATTCGAACATATGCCTTTGGGTTGGCAGCACATCTCTTTACCCACCAGAGCTCATGAAAAAATATTCCTAGGCTAAGTGCTGGTCTGTGATGAACTAAAGTCAAAGGAAGCTTGAAAAGACCATCTGGAATTGAGCCTGTATTGGCCCAGGAAAAGCTAGTGGGGGTGGCTGCCCCTCCTACATCCTGTCATAATCCTAGCCATAGGTAATACAGGTAATGTCTGAATGCTTAATATTTGATCATCATGTTTCCCTTAAGGATGAATACCTCTGTTAAGTCAGTTTTATTGCTGAGAACATGGAAGCCAGGTGTGTCTCATCATCTTTGTGATGGGCACATTCATTTACTCCACAGACATTAGTGGGGACCCAGGGCCTGGCCCTGAGCTCAGCTTTGAGAAGACAGGTTTGAGGTACCCCCAGGGGCTTGCAGTTTGAGAGGGCTGCTATGAGAAAGCATGCATTAAGTGCAGAAGATGCCAGGTTGAGGGTTGTCTGGGGGAGGGGGGGGGCGGGAAGCAGCCCCATGGCCTACTACCCTGACCAAGCGATGGGAGAGATCACTGCTGGGGTGAGGCTTGGAGCCCCTGAAGGGAAGTGCCTGGCTGGGGTGGGGTGGAGGGACTGGAATTTGAATTGCTAGGTGAGAAGCTGATGACATAATTTTCTCCATATTCTGAAGGATCGTTATCCGCTTCTACCCCCTGGAGCCCTGGCAGATTGGCAAGAAGGGGACAGTCATGACCTTCTTATGATTGGCATGGAAGGCGTCCATGGCTTGTGAGCTGGCTGCCGCTCCAGAGTGGCCTCTCACCAGAGTGAAGGCTTGGTGGGTACCACTTTCAGATACCCCCTCATGGGATGTGCCAGTAATTTCATTTCCAGTCTTGCACATATCAAATAAATGGACAGAGAGTGTCCTCCTTCAATGTGGCTGCTTTACCTTCCTGCACTTCACTCTCCAGTTCTGGACCTTATTAGGTAGTGGGCTTGGTTTTGGAAGGGCTTCGTTTATGGAGAACTTGGGAGATGGGTTTTGTATCTCCAGGGCAACTATTTAATGGGCATTAGCTACTCTGATTGATCTGACAGAGGAGGCACATGCAGACCTGGCTGGGAGTGGCAAATGAGATGGTTAATTCAGCTGTCCTGCAGATACTGCTGACCACAGGCGCCAGGCCTCAGCCTGGGGTGGCTCCGGTGCTTCCCACTAGAGCCCCATGCCAGACACAGGAGCAGGACAGGCTGGGCTTCAGGATCTGTTCTGAGGCATTCTCTGAACACCGTGTTCTCTTGCCTTATACCAAAGTATTTTGTTAAACAAACAAACAAACAAACAAAAAACCCTTCCTAAAAAACCCATGTCCCCGTTGCCAAACCTGGAAACACCATGTTTGCCACTAGGAACCGCATCATGGATCCCTGCTGCCATCTCTACACTGAACCCTGTTTCAGGGGATAGAGGATAGGCTGGGGACCAGAGCTGCCCGAGGGGAGTCTCCATTTCAGTAGCTTTCCACATGCTGGATACAGAGTTTACAGCTGTGACCATCTGGACACTAGTGGGCCTGGTGTTTCCCTACTGTTGAAGATGTCATGGTCCTTGGCTTAAGTGCACCAGTGGAATACCAAATAGAGATATTTCTGTTTATGCAGTTTACGTGGACAGTTAATAAAAGCTTTCATTGAGCTCTGTGCTAGGACATAGTGGCAAACAATTGTGCTGCCATCTCAAAAGTACATGGTTCAAATCTACCAGCTACTCTGTGGTATAAAGATGGGCAGTCAACTACCATATTTATAGCCTCTGAAAACCTGCTTAAGGGTCAGATATGGGTCAGTTCTAACTCTATGGTACTCAACAACATACCTGTGCTTGCTCTTTTAGCACCTGACCACCCTTGAGGGTTGTAACAAAACCTAGACCTTGGACTTCCCCGGGCTTCCTGCCACCTTGAGGGCTTAAGAGGCTGTTTAGGGGTTGAATGTGAAGGTTAAGTGTCCAGGGATGAGATTTAGAGCTGATTCTTGCTAAGAGCTGTCTCCCCTCTGGTCTCCCATCTTCTATCTGCCCTGCCCAGTGGTCGGACACTCTGCCATCTGCTTGTCCGGTGGCTTTTCCTCCCACCAAGCCAGCTGTTTGTGCTTCAGTTCCACGCACCGCCTCCCTCCAAGGTTATTGACTCAATTATTCTTCAGCATATCAATAAAGCTTTATTGTATTGAACCGATTCCATTTACCGTGATCTTACTGTATTTAATTAAGGCCAAAGAGAATATAGGATTTACTTATTTCTTTCACTTCATCCTAGTTCTCAAAAAGCCAGTAAAGCTTGTGTATTCAATCACAATGTGAAGCCCTTCTCTAAAATACCTCTCAGTTGCAGACGTCCATCAAGAAGCCTTTCAAAGATGAAACCTTTCTGCCGTTTTAAAACGCTGCCCCTCTACCAACGCAGCCTGGTGATTTACCTTGTCTTGCTCGTTTTCCCTTTGCACCAATACGGTGAAAGGTTTCTGAGTTTCCCCAAGAAGACAGACATGACAGTGAACGGCATAGCCTTTCACCTCGGCTCCTTCAAGTATCTCCAGCTTGTGTGGCACCTGTTTTTTGAGCACCTGTCCTAGGCAGTAACAATAACATGCACGCCGCTCCGATCCTAACACGAACTCAACGAGTACCAGTTGCAGAAGCTGCCAGGAGCCTGGAGAACGCGCGACCTCACCTACGTGACGTTGCTTACGCAATGAAGACGCGCGTGTGGTCGTGTAAACCCTCGCTGGTTGGCTGGCAGGATCGGCGCTCTAGCCAATGGCGGTGCGTCTTGTTGCGAGGCAAGCAACCGGTAGAGAGGCAGGCGCGGCGTTCGGACGCCTTGGACCGCGACGCTTGGTGAGTTTCCCCAGCTTCAGACGTGATGCCGGCGCTCCAGGCCTGAGGACCGATCTGGGGGACTCGGGATCCGAGGGCGCCCCAAGGCCAGGGCACGCCGCCCTCGGGGTCTAAGTCGGGGCCCGGTTTCCCCGCAGCCCCTCGGCGGTCACCGAGTTTCTCATCGCGGCGCAGGTAGCGACCACCTCCAGATGGCTTCCCCCCCCCCCCAGTCCCGTTGGATGGGTGCCGGTGTTAGCACCACCTTTGGGGTCATCTAACTGGCCACTGTGTGCGCCTTACCCCAATCCTGCCGCGTGTGTCAGTACCGGGGCTCAACTCTAGGCGACCGAATCACTAGCATCTTAAAACGGGACAGTCAGACCCCGAGCAGTGCGGTCAACTCGCTGGGTTGTAGATGCCATCAGCGAGCTGGACTCAGGGTGACCCCGAGAGTCATAGGAGACACCCCCCCCCCAGGCTGAGGATCCTCCTGGAGTCTGTGCCCATTGCAGCCGCCATGTCACCCGTCAGGCTAAGGGTCTTCCCGGCGTCTGCGCCCATAGCGGCCACCGTATTCCCTGCAGGCGGAGGGTCTCCCTGGTATCTGTGCTCTTTGCAGCCACCGTGTCACCCGTCAGGCTGTGGGTCTCTCCCTGGGGTCTGTGCTTAATGTGGCCCCCGTGTCACCCTGTCAAGCTGAGAGTCTCCCTGCGGTCTGCACTCATGCACTCATCCTGCCAGGCCAAGGATCTTTCTGGTTTTTGCTGATGTGTGACATGTTAGAACTAACCTATAGTAGAAGGTGCAATCTTGGAGGCAATGATGATGAAGCTTTATCTTGTATTCTTTGGGTACGTTGCTTTGTTATTGTTGTTAGGTGATGTCAAGTATGACCTATAGCGACCCTGTGAACAACAGATCTGAAACCTGCCTTGTCCTGTGCAATCCTCACACTTCCTAACACACTAGAGCCAATTGGGGCAGTCCTCTGTCAGCCCACCTAGTTGAGGGTCTTTGTTTTGCCGACCATCCACCTTTCCAGCCATGATGTCCCTCTTCAAAGAATAGCCTCTCCTAGCCATATGCTTGAAGTATGTGAGTCGCACCTTAATCTTTGTCTGTAAGAAGCACTCTGGCTGCACCTCTCCAAGATACAGGAGAGGTTTTTTCCATCTAAAGGGACATCATGCTTAGAAAGGTGGAGGGACAGCGAAGGATAGGAAGACCTCAACCAGATGAATTGAAACAGTTGACTGCATCAATGGTCTCAAGTATGTCACAGATTGTAAAGATGGTACAGGACAGGTTCATAGGGTCTCTATAAGTTGTATATGATTTGAAGGCATCTAACAACAAGATTCTTAGACTGGGAAGCTTTGGTGGTCTAGTGGGTAAGGAGTAATGCTGCTAAGCTATATGCATGTGGTTTGAATCCTCCAGCTGCTTCAAGGGGAAAAGGTGGGCAGTGTCCTCCTGTACAGTTGACAGCCTCTAAAAACTTGCTGGAGGGGTCAGCTATGAGTTGGTGACATCCTCAGAAGTTCAGAGGTTGTTGTGTAAAGGACCAAATATAAGTATTCGCATTGTCAAGGTAGTGTGAAAGCAGACGAAGATAGTGTTTTACTTTATCACCACTGAAATGTCTATTTAATATAGTTTTCAAGTGTCATGATTTTGTTTCCCCCCTCAAACCTTTAGAAATGTTAAGAAGCATTCTTTACTTCTGGGCTGTATGGGAAGAGTCATCTGGCTGGTAGGCAGACTCCTGGCTCAAGTCCATAGTAGAGGAACCTGGCCCAGAGAAGATGTCTGTACCAAGTTAGTCACACAGGCAGGCACTGTGACCACTGACCTTAAGACTTGCTGACTCCCGGTCCAGGCTTTTAGAGTGTTGAGATCACAAAGTGTGTAGTTCTTATTTATTCTTAAGGCTGTGGAGGATGGATAGGACCAACTGTGACAGCTGTTCTAGAAAATAAACTGGAAATCTGAGAAATGAATGGATACTTTCTCATCTTCCCAATTACTTTCATTTTTTTCTTTTTTTCTTTTTTTTTATTATTAATTTTAATGAAAATTTACAGAGACTTTGGTTTTCCATTCATTCATTGTTGCACTTTTCTCCCCTCCCAACCCTCCCCCCAGTACACTCTCCTCTTGGTAAAGTAAAAGAAAAATTCTTTCATTGTTTTACAACCCCTCCCCCTAGATCCACTCACTAAGCAGCCTTCGCTCTGGACTCCTGTCATGACAAAAATACCTAATCACATATCTCTTTTAAACAGTTTTCTCCCTCATCTGTTTCAATGCAGTATACATTATTTAACCCATCTTTCTCAGTCTCCCCCCAACCCCAATGTCATTCCTGTTTTACAACAGTGGCACCATGCACTATTTGTCCTTTTGTGACTGGGATACTTCACTCAGCATAATGTCCTCCAGGGTCACCCATTTTGAATAATATTGCATGAGTTCCTTGTTTTTCAATGCAGCGTAGTATTCCATTGTGTGAATGTACCACAGCTTCTCTATCAATTCGTTTGTTGATGGGCACTTAGGTTGTTTCCAACTCCTTGCTATTGTGAACAAAGCCGTGATAAACATGGGTGTGCATATATCTGCTTGGGTGTCAGTTATGGTCTCTTTTAGGGTATGTTTCCAGTAGTGGAATTGCTGGGTCAAATGGTATCTCTATTTGCAACTTTTTGAGAAAGCCCCATACCGCCTTCCACAGTGGTTGCACCATCTTACACTCCCACCAACAGTAAAGAAGGGTTCCAGTTTCTCCACCACCTTGCCAGCATTTGTTGCTTGCTGTTCTGTTAAATTTTGCTATTCTGACTGGAGTGAGATGTTATCTCGTAGTTGTTTTGATTTGCATCTCTCTTAGAGCTAGGAATTTTAAACATTTCTTCATGTGCTTGTTGGCCATCTGAATGTCTTCTTTTGTGAAGTGTCTGTTTATATCCTGTGCCCATTTTTCAATTGAATTATTTACCTTTATCTTGTTGTGGTGCTCAAGTATTTTATAAATTCTAGATATAAGTCCCTTATCTGACATGTCATTACCAAATACTTTTTCCCAGTCTGTGACGTTCCCTTTTACCCTGTTGGAGCAGTTTTTGAAGTCTGCTTTCATTTTTACAGAATAATTTTATAAGAACAAATACTGCATAAGACCATTATTTTAAAAAGATATCAAGGGAGCTCTTGTGGCCTAGTGGCAAGAAGCTGCATTGCAATCGCAGAGGTATGTGGTTTGAATCTGCCAGATGCTCTGCTGGAGAAGGAGGGGCAATCTCCTTCTGTAACAGCCAGATCTGATTTGATGGTACACACACACACACACAAAATAATAAAATAAAATTTTTCTAAAAACACAACACTTTTATTAAAAAATAAATAAATAAAGATATCTAGTAAAATGTGTATAGGGATCCAAGGAGAGGAGAGTGGGAGCAGAGGGGTGAGGATGGGCAGGGAGGAAGTCATAGTGTTGCACAATTTGGTGGGTGAAGGGTGGGGAGGGAAAGGAAATGGGTATGATCCAGGGGGTATCTAGAAAGACAGGATAATCGTGAGCATAGTTCAATGGTGATTAAATTTTATTAAACATAATGAATGGGAATGAATATATGAAACACAATGTATATGAAGCGTAGTGTGAAACACAGTGTATATGAACTTTGTATGCAAACCAATATAAAATAAAAATTAAAATAATTTTAAAGCTAACTTTTTAAAAATCTTGAGTTCTTGTGGTTTCTGATCCAGATCTTCACATTTTTTATGTTGTTGTTGTTGTTATGTGCCGTCGAATCGCTTGTGACTCATAGCGACCCTATGTACAACATCCCTAAACTCTGCTCTGTCCTGTACCAATCGTACCATCTCTGATACACCCATCCCAATTACCCCAGTCAGTGAATCAGTCCACCTCATAGGGGGCCTTCCCTTTCTGCGCTGTCCCTCCACCCTCCCAAGCATGATGTCCCTCTCCGAGGATCTGTCTCTCCTTGTAACATGGCCAAAGTATGTTAGACGCCACCTTAGAATCCTTGCCTCCAAGGAGCAGCCTGGTTTGACCCTTTCCAGGATGAATCTGTTTCTTTTCCTAGCAGTCCATGGTACCCTCAATACTCTTCTCCAGCACCACAGCTCAAAGGCATCAATTCTCCTTTTATCCTTCTTAGTCTTTGTCCGACTCTCTGATGCATAACAAGTGATAACAAAGACCATGGCCTGTATCAGACGCACCTTAGTCTCCAAAGGGACACCATTGCTCTTCAGTACTTTGGAGAGGTCCCTAACAGCAGACTTTCCCATGGCAATACGTCTTCTAATTTCCTGGCTACTGGTCCCGAGAGTGTTGACTGTAGAGCCAAGCAGACTGAAGCTGTGAACAATCTCAGTCTCTTCACCATCCATCCTGATGCTGCCAGTTGGTCCAGTGGTGAGAATCTTTGTCTTCTTGACATTGAGCCTCAATCCATATTGGAGGCTGCAGTCAGTCCTTGACCCTCTGCAGCAGGCGCTTCAGGTCCTCCTCAGCTTCAGCAAGCAGGGTTGTATCATCTGCATATCGCAGATTGTTGATAGATCTTCCACTAATCTTCACCCCACATTTCTCCTCATAGAGCCAACCTCCCAGATAATCTGTTCTGCATACAAGTTGAAAAGGTATGGAAACAGGACACATCCCTGGCGTACGCCCTTCCCAATTTTGAACCATGCAGTGTTTCCTTGCTCTGTTCTGACGACTGCCTCTTTGTCCCAGTAGAGGTTTCTCATTAGCATGATCAAGTGTTCTGGTATTATAGATGATAAATTATTACTTTTCAGAGTTTTTGTTTGACCTGCAGATAAGTTGCAACAGTAATCCAAAGAGTTTCCTTATTTCCCTCCTCTGTAATACGATTAAGCAGAATAGAAGACTATCACTGGTAGAATAATAACAATAACTGAACTACAGACCTAGTTAGAATTCCCATTTTTCCATGAATGTTCTTTTTTGATTCCAGTATCCTACTTAGGCTGCATTTAATTATTTCTCCTTAGTTTCCTATTGTTAGGTGCCTTCGAATCAAGTATGACCCATAGTATGAACAACAAGTGTAAACCCTGTCCTCTCCTGTGCTGTCCTCACCATCTCTGGTACACTCAAGCCTATTCCAGCAATCACTGTGTTGATC